GCGCAGTACACTACTTCTACTGCACTTCTAGTATCTCGTGTAGACGTGCCCAGTGTGTATTGTCCATATTGGAATTTGGCACCCTGAACCTCTGAAATTCAGAGGACAGCTAGCCAGGAAGCTGACTCAAGGTTTTTACTGCTGGTCCAATGCCATTGTGCCTCTGGTACATGTGCTTGGTCAGTACGTGATAGTTCCTCTGAGATCTCCCATCCATGTGCTGGTCTGGCTTGATTCTGCTTGGGCGGTCCAAAGTGAGGGTGGTATAACTGCTGGATTACATCTGCGTCGTATTGGGTACACAGCAATGCTGTGCTCTTGTTCAGTGTTAAGTTTCTGTTTTGGAGATAACAACATTACCGTGGACTGTTTTGCGAGTTGAACTCAAACGTAAGTGCTGTTCAGACTCTTGGGAAAGGTAGAATATACTGTGACACTTTTGAGATGAATTATTGACCTTGCCACTTCACAAAGACTCTTCTGTCATGCAAATCAGTAGTTGCTGCAGGTTTTTTAGAAATATCACCTGAAGTGCAGGATCCTGTCTTGATGCAGGATGTCAAAGGATGGAGGGTAACTCAAATATTAGGTTAGTTCCAGGAGTACTGAGAGTGCTGCTGTCAGTGGCTTTGCATTCACTTGCAATACATCAGAACATGCCCTGTGGCTGATTTCTCCACACAACTGACAACGGCTGCTTGCCTTCCATGCTGCGTATTGGAAAAATGTCTTGGGAGCAGCCGTGACAATTAACTTCCACTCAGGGCAGTGTCCTAGGAGGTCTTTCCTTCCCGCATCCAGCTCGAGGGAAGAAAATAGAGCTTGTGCTTCACTGCACTCCCTCTCCCAGCTGAAATAAATCCTGGTACTTCAGAATTTTAATGATGACTTGAGGTTTTAAATCCGATCAAAAATACCATTATCACATCACTTGGGATCTGGAAGATAGTGCCCTATAGGGGCAGCGCATAAACTTGTAGACAGTCAGCAACTCTGAACCTGCAATCTAGTTCTCTTTAAGTTCTTGGCAAGAAATGCAAAACCATTCATCCACTTTTCACTATGTTACACTGAAACTGTTGGAACAGCCCTGAAATGCCTCCTAGACTGTGGGGTTCCTCCTCTTTCCAGCACTAAGCATGGCTTTTTTTTTTTTTTTTTTTTAAGCCTTGCATGTGGTTGCCTGTGATAGCAAGGAACTGGGTATATAGCTCAGGAGGTCCCTTCAGTTTGCCTTCCTTGGCTAGATAACTGGTCCCTTTCCTCCCTTTTAAAAAGAAGTCCTTTTACTAGGTGTAAAGTGGAGAGACAAGATACAAAAAGGGGTCAGTCAACCCTTCCAGTGGAGTCCAGTAAAAGATAAAGGTGCACACCTTTAGACCTTTATATCTGACGCACTTAAAGCACTTGTCAGTTATTAATAAATACATTGCACAAACATTACAATACTTGGAGGAGGCAGGCAAAATATTAACTTTACAGGTGTGGAAACAGGCATGTAGCAATTGAAGAATTTTACTGGAAGTCCCATATAAGGTCTGTGGCAGAGCCAGGAATAATTCAAACCATCTAATTCTGGGGCCTGTACTTCAAAGGCAAGATCATCCTTCCTTAATTACTGATTAAGAGCCTGATATTAGTTAAATTGATGTGATGATGTCTCAGAGATTCAAAATCTAACAGAAATACAAGAGAGAACAGCATTTATTCTATAGTGCTGTGGTGCCCCTGCTTATATAAAATTTACCCAAGATCCCATTCTGGTTCGTGTTTGTGAGGTCACATCTTTGCCACTCGGAAAGAAGTTTTAGTTTCTGATCGTAAAGGTTTTGTTCTAGACTAGCGTCACGGACGGTGTTGACTTCTGAAATCTGCACTGGTCTGGTGGCTGACACTGCCCTGAGCTTTGCCATGCTACAGCAGGATGAAAGCCTATACAAAGTAGCGATTCGTGGGTATTTTTTAAGGACAGAAGGGGCCATTGCAATCTCCAATAGGACTTGGGCTAGAGGTTTATACAGTGATTCCTGTATTAAAAATATGTTCTTACCTCAAGTGAAACTCCCTAGAAATTTGAATCTGAGACCCTTCAGAAGTGATCTCTTCTCTGCTGTGTTGATAACCGTGGACTGGTCAGGTCACTGCTGCATTGAACCTCGTTGGGCACCCGCTTCTGTCTCCAGAATTTTCCACTTGAATTCAGGCTCCAATCCCTGTCCATCCTATGGCAGACTTTTTTCATGAGGACTTGTAGAGTAGATGCACTATAGGAGTCTTCCCAGCAGAGCAGGCAAGTGTAATAAGTGTTGGCTTGATAGTCATGAAGTGGGAGGCTGAAGCTCTGCCTTGAATAGTCCCGAGTTTCACTGGGCTCAGAAGAACCAAGGTCCAAAATGGCCCGGGCAGACAAACCACTTTTGAGACCCCACGGTAGGGGCATTGGCAGTGGAGAGAGAGACCCGGCATCAACACTTGTACTGAAGCAAACACTAATCTTGGCAGCGAAGCCAGTGCTGTGGGTGGTGAAGCTGATGGCAAACCTCCGAGTCCTCCCCCAGGATTAGACTGAGCAAGATGTTGGGAGGGGGAGAAACAAGTCTTCCAACCCCTGCCAGGAGTTGAGATATGGAAAGAAGAAGCAGAAATCATACCACTACTGTACCCAGTATTAAAGGCACCCCCTTGGAAGTTATCACTACCCGGGGGTGGGGGAGCAGATGGAGGCCATCCTTGGTACTCGGTAAACTCAAGGACAGATGATGTCTTATTATCAGCCAGGAGGTCTGCTTCTCCTTTTCCCTGGTGTCCACCAAGGAGCTGTCCCATCGGAGATGTATGAGTTACACTGCTCAGATGGGCTTTGGTGCAGTCAACCCACATGCACACCCACAGGCTGCTGTGTCTGCTCTGGGGTTACAGAGGACTTGCTTAACAAGGTGTTCCCACAATCGAGGAGGTTCCCTGGCCAGACCACCCATGTCAGGATTCAGAGGCATGGGATCCAGATGCAAAGGAAAGAAGCACTGCCCTATCTCTTGCCCTCTGAAAGACCTTTCTGTATTGCTGGGTGAAGCAACACCCTTTGTACTGGCACCAGAACAGTTTCAGAGCCTTCCAGGAACTCCTGGTGTGTCCAGAACCTCTAGAATACCTGTATTCCCCCAAAAAGGGCCTGCAAGCTGCTTGACGCATCTCAGTTTCTGGGCCTGCCAAGATTTCCCTGCCCATTAATGAGGGATGACCACACCCAGTGCTGGGCACTCTTTACCAGCAGGTGCTGGCCACGTTTTACACCAGCAGCCAAATGCATGTATAAGTGAGCCCAGCCTCTTCCAGGATCCACGTAGCTCTGTAGGATGGACGTGTCCCCATCGCTTCACTGCTCCATCCATTTTGTTTTGTATATAAACTTATCTTTCTGCAGAGCCAGAACTCTGGAGAGGCTGTATGCTGCTGGCTGATAGATTAACTGGGAAAGGAGAAATTGCATGCCAGGAATTGCTTCCTTTTAGTCGGGACCTTCCTTTAACTTTAAAAGCCAAAATTCAAGATGGAGCGACTCGGTCTCCCTGTCCCTCAGGGTTTTGCTTCAGACGTGGAAAGTTTTAGAGACGAGAGCTTGGAGCCTTCCTCAGTTGAGACTTGCGTTCCCTGCAGTTATCTCCAGCAATCAGCAACTGTTTCCTCTTGCACTTGTCATCTGATAGGCCTGAGGTCCTCACCAAGGTCTGTCCTGTACGTTGCTCTGAAAAGCATATGACTAGGAGTAGACATGTGCTGGACGACTCTAGATTACAGTTTAAAGGGCATTCACAGGTGCACTGGGGACACAGACCTCGGGCCCTGCTATACAGGCACTAGTGAAGCTAAAAGAACTGAGTTAGTTTTTCTGCCTTGTCTAGAGCTTCATTTTCCTGAACAGCTGAGTGAAACCAAACGAAGGTTGGGGGAAGAGAAGTATTATAGACTCTCCCATACCTATCTCACTGCAGGAGCATAATAGTAGAAACAGGTTCTCCTTGCCCCATTGCAACAGCCAGGAGTCTGTGGTTCTGGGCAGCTCGTAGCCTTCGGCCTCTGGCTATTGGTGCGAGACCGAGCCTTGGAGGGATTCGGGACAGCAACCTGCTAGGCTTCCCTGCTGCTGGGAAATGGCTAGGGTGAAGAGGCAAAAGAAAATGTAGGCAGGAACTATTGGGTAGGACCTAAAGCAGATGACAAATGTGCGTTTGAAAATATTCAGTGTGGCACTGGCAGAAGAGCCAGGATTATGGAGGGAGAGCGATGCCAGGAGAGGAGAAAAAGTGCGTGTCTGTGGGAAATGAAAGGTATCGGAGCTGGCTCGTTATCATTGCTTTGGGTGCTTTTTTGAAAGTTTGAGTACTTGAGTAAAGGTAGAAGTTGGGCGACATTACAGTGGCATTAGGGATCTTTGCTCTGACTGGTAGACTTAGCCCTTGAGTCAGTAGGTGTGGCAATGCTTTTTTCCCTAGTCCTAGAGCGAGTCAAATGCAACTCTCACCTTTATAGTGTAGCTCCTCGCAGCTCTTGTTCATCACTGTGCCACTTACTTCTAAGGTCCATCTTTGATTTCTACACCCCATTTGTCTGATGGAATTTTTTTTAATCCAACATTCACAGCACCAGAACAATTCTGTTAGTTACACCAGATGCACAGCATCTCTTGTAAAGAGAACTAAATGCACACATAAATTACTCCAAACATTTAATACTGTATGTACTTTGTCAGTCTTCCTCTGCACGTATATATTGCTCTTCAGGCAACAGTTATGCAGGAAATGCATGTGGGTCCTCTGATTAAGTTTATGCACTATAGAAGTGCAACAAAATCTTACCTGTTGATGAGAAATGTAACCTCTCTTTGAGAAGGGAGCTGGTCATAACTTGCAATTGAGGTTTTAAGGGTCACTACTAAAATGACAGTGTGTTTTTTGTTTTTGTTTTTTTTTTAATGTTCCTAAATAATAGGCTGGATGGAAAGAAAATCATGCAACATTCATGAATGAACTGAAAAATCTGCAAGCTTCTGGACTCACCACCCTTGGTCAGGCGCTCAGATCCTCGTTTGACTTGTTAAATCTCAATAGATTGGTATCTGGAATAGATAATTATGGACAGGTAAATAATACATAATTTCACTTCCCCTCCCCTCCACTTCCTCCTCCCTTTTTATTGAACAGGTTTCAGAACCACTGTTGCTTTGTGGAAGCCTTAAAATTATTTGGGTTCCTTTTGAGTATGGGTGAAACAATAGGGTTATCTTAATTTTTAAACCAGGCACTATAAAATACTCATCAAGCTTTTAATGCAATACCCATCTTCATAAAGCATACGTGTCTTATCTGGGTACCCATTGATGTTTAAAAATTGTAGTTCATGCCTCATTTAAATGAGATGAAAATGGTTCATGAATGTAGCATATCTGTTCAGTGTGGTGTGCTCATGCATGCATACTAACGTACATGCCTGGAATCTTAAAACTACAGGTATTTCACAAATAGCTGTTTCAAACTCTGCTACACTTGTGCTGACTTGTTTTTCTCAGTGTGTTCATTTCTAATGAACTGTTACCATCTGTTCAGATCTGCAAAAAAAACAAAACAAAAACAGTCCATTTGCAAGACGGTTCATTTTTTTTCCCCCCGCTGTTAAACTTCTTGAACACATTTGTCAGTATGCTGGTGTCTGTCTCCCACACCCCTCCTCCACCCCCACTGCAAGAAGGAAAGGAGTGCAAATTCCAACTTCTACCTCGAATACAAATGTGCAAGATGTTCCATTGCTATGCAGCACTGGATCTGCTGGATGGTATCAGAACTGCTTCCCAGCATCATAGGTCCTTTGTGAATAACCTACTCTTTCTGCTCAAGGAGTGGGAGCCTGTGACTTGGCAGAACTGGGTATGAATTCTAGTTTCACTCGCTGTGTGGTTTTCAGTAGCTTTTATAGGCAGGTGTCAGTTGTGGAATCGTGCGGCCAAGATTTTGCAGCTTCCTGTTCTTAAAGGCAGATACTGTCTCTCTAAATTCATTGAACACCCTTTACAAAAGTTTAACTTGAGTATAGAATTCAGCATTCAGGAATCTGTTTTTACGTGTTCTTACTCTTTCATTTCTAGGGGAGAAACCCGTTCTTTTTAGAACCATCTATTTTAATTACCATTACAGATGGGAACAAACTGACAAATACTGCTGGTGTTCAGGAAGAGGTAAGAAATGCAGTAAGTTTTAATTTGCAAAATGCAGCAAATAACGTAATAGGAGGGAGTGTCTTACTAGCAGTCAAAAATTTTTATATAAATAAAAAAATCTGTAAACTTGCATCTTCTGCAATTAATTGCGGTTTTTATTGGTAATCTTACTTCATTTTCCAGACCATTTTGTACTAAACATATACACATTTCATATTTTTATGGGTGATAAAAGACCACAGTTGGAGGCTATGCATATTGCTTCTGTTGGAGGAGGAACCTGGTTCCATACCTTGTCCAGCTTTCTGATGATAGTTACTTTTTTGAATAGTAGGCAACCACCAATTCTTCTGGATCATGGTGTATGCTTGAGAGGTCACCCAGACCTTTGACGTGTACACCTAGGCAAGAGTCTGGAGGAGCGGAGGCTGTCCAGACCTTCCAGCCCCTCTTTTTAGACGATTGAGATTGACTCCAAAGGCCAAACTGAGCCTGGATGTTTGGTGCCTCGATGGCTGTAGTTACGTGCGCATCTGGAAATCGAACCCCAAGTCTCCCACGTGGCAGATAAGGATTCTACCATTGAACCACAGCAGCAGGTTAACTTTTGAGTACAAGTCTTTTTAAACCAATCGTCTACATAAATGTTCTTAATTTTGTTTTATTAGCTTCATCTTCCATTGAATTCTCCTCTGCCTGGAAGTGAACTAACCAAAGAGCCGTTTCGCTGGGATCAAAGACTATTTGCGCTAGTGCTGCGTTTGCCAGGAGCTGCTTCAGCTGAACCAGAGCAGCTGGGGAGTGTTCCTACTGATGAATCTGCTATTACACAGATGTGTGAAGTCACAGGAGGTACCTGAACATTTTGCTCTGGTTTGCATTTGAACTTTCCCTTTGTAGGGTAAGGAGTTGTCATGTTAATGGGATGATCTCACGAAACACAATTTTTTTCTTTTCTCTGTACTTAAGTTGTGATTGTTGCCAGGTAAAACTGAAAGGGCTTTGACATTTCGTAGTTTTTATTTATGTAATAAACACTTTGTGTATTGTTTTATATAGGCATATGAAACGTATTCTGAGAGTGCTTCTTTCTCCTAGGTCGCTCCTACTGTGTTCGGACACAAAGAATGCTGAACCAATGTTTAGAGTCTCTAGTTCAAAAAGTTCAGAGTGGTGTTGTTATTAACTTTGAGAAATCGGGGCCAGATCCTGCTCCCATTGGAGAAGGTACAGTAAATACTCATTTTCACAGCTGCAAAGAAGAGACTTCTGATTTGTCTTTTATGGCTTAATATCGCTGTAAGCTGTATGTTAGACGCAACATACATTAAGGACCTGTCTCTAATCTGTCTTCTGTTATGGAGGGAAATGTCTTTATTGATTGCTGCTTTGTTGGCTGAAGAACTGTAACTTGAAGAACAGAAACCTGTTGTGGTTATTGGCTTGTGTAGTAAGCAGGGAGGTCTTATTCCTAGACGTGGTGCAATTAGCAGGAAGTAAGTGTCTAGGATGCCACAAGCATTTGGAGGTAGCTGATTGCTAGCCAGCCAGTTAAGCTGAGGTACAGACCCAGGTATATACTAAGTTTGGTCACATCTGTACTAGGAAGACGAAGTATTTGAATGTGGGGTGCAGCTGGTATCTAGTATAGAGAGAGTTTGAGAGGAACATCAAAAGGCCTCTCTCAGGCTGACGTTTTCCTCAGAAACATTACCTTGTGAACAGAGCTTAAGCAGCTTGGGAGAGGGCTGCCTACTTGAACCAATATGTGGTATTCTTCCCCTCCTCTACCAACACCCATCTAGAAGATATGAAGCAGTTGCAGGTACTGTACCTGCTGCTTGGGGAAGCGCTCAGTCGCAGCTTAACGTTTCCCCCCCTCTTTCTATTCAGGAAACAGAAGCCCCGAACAGAGGAAAGTGATATGTATAGAGACCGAAGAAATAGATGAAACCTATTGAACAGACATGGGCATGGGAAGGGGGTGGGGGGCAAGCGATGTTTTAATTATGTAGCAATCCCAGGTTGAATCTGATGTTCCTCCTAAGCGTGTCTGCTGTTCTATATTGTCCACTTTGGCACCTCCTCATTGACATGAATTATTTTGTGATCAATCAACGCACTTTTTTTGCCTCCTCCCCTTCCAAACTGCAAGTGAAAGATGAGAAGGAAGAGGAAGCTATTTTGCTAGCAGCAGATAGTGTTTGGGGGGAATTCTTGACTTCAAGACAGTTGGTTTAGACTTGGAGAATATCACATCTGCAAGGAAGGAGATAAAACACGCTGAGAGGCTAGTTCTATAAGACCCTCTCTCCACATGCCCATTACTTAATCTCCTAGAGTATCAGACATGGCCCTTGGAAGCACTTAGAGCATGCCAGCAGAACCAGCAATCAACTGGCTATTTTTCTTTTGTGACCCTCAGGGTAGCTTAGGATGGTCAGCCTGTCACCCTCCCGTTCATTCCTAGACACTGTTTTCTCCTCTCTCCCTTTGCCTGCCTGTTTTTCCTTTCTCGTGACGTGTTCATTTATTTGATAGCCTCTGGCATCCTGTGCAGCTGAAATTTGGCACCTCAGCGAAATCCCTGGTGTCTGCTGATCTAAAACTTCAGGGTTACTCCTACAGGGCAAAGTAACTGAATAAGATGGGACTTAATTTCTTTTGTCCCATGCTAGGAAATGGTGTAGTGTTAGATACCAGCATAGAACAAAATTGTTGAGAGCGCAGTATGTTGACATGTGAGAGAGACAAGGAAGCAAATGAGTCCCAAAGCGGCAGCAGCATGGAGGAATGTTGCAACGAGCATGCTCTCGACCTGCAGTACAGGCACTGCACTGTGTGAATATGAAGCGAACTGATCTGCAGTGGAAAGGCACGTACTGTAATTTCAGTCAGCCATTTCTGGACCAAGTTGCATCAGCAGTTCATGCCTTGCAAGGAGCAAATGCAGGGAGCTAGACAGGCACCTTAGCTACCCCTCTACACCTTGCAGAGCCAGGCTCCGCAACTTATCCTAAGCCTTGCAAAGCTTACGATCCTGTCTCGGCTGTTTGAATGGTCATGAAGTAGGTAGCAGGTGTGTGTTAAGGTAAGAAGACAAAGCAGGCTGACAGAAAACACTTGAACTCCTCTTTCCTCACTCGGGGAGAAGAATGAAGCATGACTAACTGATGATGGTTGTCGGTAATTAATTAAAGCCAATTAAATACTGTTGAAGCTCTTACCATGAGATGCATTTCTTTAATGGTGTATTTCCAAAGCACTGCCCCCCCCTTAATTTCTATTACTGCTGATATTACTGCTTGTGCATTGCATCGTCACCAGTGAGATTATACAGCTGTGCTCTGCTTTCACTGACAGCAATGTTAGATTTTTTTAGATTCATTGCACATGGGACAAGTTTTTATACCAGTAGTTATTAGTCTAAGCAAATTGCATTTTTCAGAGTGTGCAAAGCAGGTCATGCTGCAGTCTTGGCATATCTGATCGAATAAAGCAGGTGTATCGGCTAGAAGCCTATGAGAACGTTAGCCTAGAGACTTGCGTGTGTGTGAAATAAATGAATGGAACACCTTGGGTTGGTAAGAGAAAATTGGTTGGAAACATGCATGCCATGTAGCTTTTTATTTTATTTTATTTTTTTTTTTTTTGCTTTGTTTAAATTGTAGATGGACTTGTTGATTCATCCAGGCCCATCAATTCATTTGCTTCTCAACCGTGGCATAGTTGTCATAAGCTCATTTATGTACGACCTAATCCTAAAACGGGTGTTCCTGTTGGGCATTGGCCAATTCCAGAGTCATTTTGGCCTGATCAGAACTCACCAACTCTGGTAAGTAAAACAAGAGCTAAAGAGAGGATTCCCCATTTGCTGATTCAATAGAGTTTGTAAATGAACAATAGACTAAACCCTCACCCTCTATCTACTTCTGATCTTGGTTTAATGAGAAAACGGATTGGAGGCTTGCCTTGACCGTGCCTGGCTGAAGGCAGTCTAGAAATTTCACAGTTGCTTTTTGATTTGGGCAACTGTATTTCAACAGGTGCCTGATCATACATGCAGGAAGCTAGCTTTTCTTTTTTATAGGTTTAAATATTGCATCACTCCATTTTGAGTTATGGTTTATCTAATTCTGTTTTAATGGTTGTAACAGAGCTAGTGAGGTTTGCCAGTATTAAGGCAAAATGATGGTTTTGATTTTTATGGTTAAACATTTTTAAAGCTTTTTAAAAAAAAGATGATAGGGTAGGAAAGAATGTAAATCTCCTCCTTGGCTGTATCTTAACAAGGGAAATTAGAGGCTGTAGTATGTTGACACTTCTCATTTAGAATCCTTTTCCATAGTACTGAGCAGCATCTCGAGTATGTGCTTCTCTTCTCCCTAGCAGCGTGAGTTGTGGTTGGAGGGAAACAAAAAGCTGTATCCTTCAGGTAATGAAGGAAATGTACAGTTTGCATTTGCTCTTTCTTTGAGAATGCAGTCATTTAATCAGTTCTAGGCTGGTTATTGGCATGTCTTATTGGTCTTTATTCATAAACTCACTTTAGTGAGCATATGTAGTCTTTCTGCTCTCCTGCTACTTGTTCCAGGTGCCAGTTCTTCCCATGACTCAATAAGGAAAAAATTCAGACACACCAGGGAATATTTTGAGCACTTGTTGGCAAAGCGGGCACGCTTTCAAACATGCTTCTGCGAACAGCAGCCGTGGGAGGGGGGGCAGAGTCTGACCATTTATCACTGTCACTCTATGGACTTGCTAAAATGCAGAACTAAAATGTTTGTATTTTTAATATGAGCTATGCTGTCTTCCCCTGTGGGGTAGGAGAAAGTAGTGTGCCAGTGTTGTCTGAATTGCAAATGGTTCCGTTAATCTGTTTTTCATTCATCTGGATTAAGTGGCAGGAATTCATAATCTACTAAATGCTATCAAAATTTCAGAGTTAAGTGCCAAAGGCTAGTAAGGTGCATGTTTGGTTTAACAGATGAATAAGCCAGTGCAATAATCTGTAGGGAATACAGCCTTGATGTTGTTTAAACAACTGTTGTATCCAAAATGGACCACTTCAGACCTTGCTTTAGACTGGATCTGTATTATAGAAAAGCCACCTTTTGGCAGATACTAGTATTAAAGAGCTTGGTAACCCTGGGCAGTTGATTATCTTCCATCATGAATCTTTTTTTCCCTTCCTCTTAGCCTCCACGCACAGCTCATCCTGTTGTCAGATTCTCCTGTGTAGATTGCGAGCCAATGGTAATAGACAAGCTTCCTTTTGATAAGTATGAACTCGAACCTTCACCCTTGACGCAGTACATCTTGGAACGAAAGTCTCCTCATACCTGTTGGCAGGTATTTGCATTTATTTGATAATAGAAATTTTAATAGGAGCCCTGCTGCAGCACCATATGAATCTGTGTAAACCTGCAGAAGGCAAAGTTAACCACTGCAGCTGGATTGAGCCAGTGTGTAAAGATGTCAGTTACCTCAATTATAATTGAATTTTCAAGCTTTAGAGTAAGTATTCCCACTGTAGGCATCCTTGGTTCATTTAATTCTAGTTCTAGAACTGCTTTTCAGTGGCAAACTTGTCCTTCAAGTTTCGCTCTTAGAGGAAATGCAGCGCTCTGCAGGGTGCCATTTGCTTAATGAAAAAGAAGATGAAGTCACCAATTTTTTCCACTAGAGCTTAGGTATGTTACTGAAATGACGTGTTCTAATGCACAGTTGAAATCTTGATTAAGGAGAACTGTATTGGAGGAATGATGGTCTTGCTTAATGTACTGGTTGGTTCAGGAGAAGTCTGGGGGCTATTAGTTTTGCCTTTGGCAAGTCACTTGGAGAAATTAAGTCTGTTTCTCAGCTTCAAAATGAGAATTAAAATGTTGTCCTTTTCAAGGAAACAGGAGATGATTAATATCCAAGCACCTCATGGATGGTAATGTTGAGACCATTTAACTACCTAGATAGGGAATAACAGCTGGGAAATGCAGAGAGGGTAAGATGACCCTTACAAATAAAACAGTAAAAATTAATTGGCATGGGTAGGTGTCAAATATGAAGTTGTGAATTACCAAAATGTCTGTAGTGTGTGCTTGTAACTCTTCTGTATGGTGTCCCCATAGTAATTTTTGTGAGGAAAGTGCTCCATGCTTTAAATGCTTTTCTCTTCCCAGGTGTGTAAAATACACGTATGAACCAGGGAAACTGGCTAATTATATTGGAAACAATTTATTTAACTAGGTATATTGCAAATGCTGTTGAGTGCATAAAGTAAAAGCATGGACCAAGTGAACAAAGAAAATTCTTCAGTCTTAAATATTTCAAATCTACAGAAGTGTGTGTTTGTTTTTGTTTCCGTCATTGGTCCCCTTAAGACTAAAAGGCATGTTCCAAATGGGGATTGCTGCTGCTGCTATATTATTTCCATAAATTATTTAGCTGTGAAATGAAGAATTTATTTCCCAAGTGTAATAACTTTACTACAAGATTCTTTTTTTTCCCCTCAAATTTGAGAAGTGTCTCTATCTGCTGATGTTTAATGCCGTGCTTTAACTTCTTTGCATGCATATTTAGTAATAACAGTCGCAAAAAGGAAGCTTATAAGAAGTGGAAACCTGAGCAAATAATTAGGGAAGAATATAAGAGAATTGCTTGGGTATGCAGGGATGAAGTCAGGAAGGCCAAAGGACAATTGGAGTTGCAGCCAGCAAGGGATGTGAAGGGTAACAGGAAGGGTTTCTACAAGTATGTTGGTAGCAAGAGGCTGATCAGGGAAAGTGTGGGTCCCTTACTGAATGAGGGAGGCAGCCTTGTGACAGAGGATGCAGAAAAGGCTGAAGTGCTCAATGCCTTTTTTCGCTCAGTCTTTACAGGCAAGCTCAGCTCCTAAACTACTGCACCGGGCAGCGCAGTTTGGGGTGGGGGAGATGAGCAGCCAACAGTAGTGAGAGAACATGTTAGGGACTACCTAGAAAAGTTGGACATGTACAAGTCCTTGGGGCTGGATGGGACGCACCTGAGGGTGCTGAGGGAGTTGGCTGATGTGATTGCAGAGCTGTTGGGCATCATCTTTCGAAATTCATGGCAATTGGGAGAGGTCCCGGATGATGGGAAAAGAGCAAACATAGTGCCCATATTTAAGAAAGGGAAAAAGGAGGATCCAGGGAACTACAGACCAGTCAGCCTGACCTTGGTCCCTGGAAAAATCATGGCGCAGATCCTCAAGGAATCCATTTGTAAGCACTTGGAGGAGAAGATGATTAGGAGTAGTTGGCATGGATTCACAAGGGGCAAGTCATGGCTGACCAACCTAGTTGCCTTCTATGATGAGGTGACTGGCTCTGTGGATATGGGGAGACCAGCGGATGTGGTGTTTCTGGATTTTAGCAAGGCTTTTGATAACGGTCTTCCATAGCATTCTCGCAGGCAAGCTAAGGGCTGGATTAATGGACTGTAAGGTGGATGGAAAATTGGCTGAAGCATCGGGCTCCATAGTAATCAATGGCTTGATGTCTAGTTGGCAGCTGGTATCAAGTGGAGTGCCCCAGGGGAGTTGGCTTTGGGGCTGGTTTTGTTCAGTGTCTTCATCAGTGACCTGGAAGATGGCATAGAGTGCACCCTCAGCACCTCTGCAGATGACACCAAGCTGGGGGGAGTAGTAGATACACTGGAGGGTGGGGCTAGGATGCAGAGTGAACTTGACAAATTGGAGGATTGGGCCAAAAGGAATCTCATGGGGGTCAACAAGAACAAGTGCAAAGTCCTGCACTGAGGAGGGAGCAGTCCCATGCACCAGCAGGCTGGGGCTGACTGGCTGGGCAGCAGCTCTGCAGAAAAGGACCTGGGTAATGGGACAAGAAGTTGAATAGGAGCCAGTAGTGTGACCTTGTTGCCAAGAAAGCTAATGGCATCCTGGGCTGCATTGGGAGGAGTGTTGCCAGCAGATCAAGGGAAGTGATTCTTCCCCTCTACTCAGCACTGGAGAGGCCACATCTGGAGTCCTGTGTCCAGTTTTGGGCCTCCCCACTACAGAAAGGATGTGGACAAATTGGAGATAATCCAGTGGACAGCAACAAAAATGGCTGGGGGGCTGGGGCACATTACTTGAGGAGAGGCTGAGCGAACTGGGCTGATTTAGTCTAGAGAAGAGGAGACTGAGAAGGGATTTAATAGCAGCCTTCAACTCCCTGAAGGGTGGTTTGAACGAGGCTGGAGCTGGACTGTTCTCAGTGGGGGCAGATGACAGGACAAGGAGCAATGGGCTCAAGTTGCAGCAAGGGAAGGTTAGGTTAGATATTGGGAAGAATGTTCTCACTAGGAGGGTGGTAAAACACTGGAACAAGTTACCCAGAGAGGTGGTGGAGTCTCCATCCTTGGAGGTTTTGAAGACCTGGGTAGACAAAGCCTTGTCTGGGATGATGTAGCTGGGGCTGGTCCTGCTTGGAGCAGGGGGTTGGACTGGATGTGACCTCCTAATGTCCCTTCCAGCCCTTGTTGTCTATGATTCTATGATCTGCTTAGTTTATAAGTTGTAGATGCACAAATAATGAAGATGTAGCCGTGTTATCCAACTGTGTGTGTGTTGTAGTGGAGTAACTTTTATGAATTACATTTGGAAAAATGTACCTGCAACAGAAATGTAAGTTTAAGCTGTTAAATAATATCAAGTAATGGATTTCTCTTTCTCTTTCCATTGCTCCTCTTGAGAGCCATTGAATATAGCCTGTATAAAGTAGTCCAAAATATACTGTGGAGAACAGTCCCATGCTGTTAATGGATAGATAGTCTGAATGACTATTGTTCCTGAATTCTGTGGTTCAGAAGGCTAAATGCATATCCATCTGTGTGCAACTAGCTGCTTTCTCTCATCTTTCTGCTTTTAAAAGTGTCATACTGCCTTGATTTTGTTTAATTATGCAACATTTAAAATATTTCTTCAATTAAGTAGAATAATGCTTCTTTTGTGTTCTTTATCAGGTATTTGTGAGTAGCAGTGGAAAATACAGTGAACTTGGACATCCATTTGGGTATTTAAAAGCAAGCACTACTTTAACCTGTGTAAACCTCTTTGTGATGCCTTACAACTATCCTGTTTTACTTCCTTTGCTAGGTGGGTAATAACACTACCTCAGTGTCATTCAACAACTTGAGAGTAAAGAAAAAATGATGATGGCTAATGTGCTGCTGTAGTTTTTGGAGGCCACTGTAAAATGGACATCAGAGTAGAGAATGTTGCAAACTTTTGCAGATAACTTGGGAGGAGAGGATTTTCATACTCCCTCTCCCTTTTTCTTTCTCTCCAGCAGAGGAGGAGAGCTACCTGCTTCCAGTGCATGTTTGATGCTGTTCACCTCCTAGACACGTAGCCTCTTCCTTAACCTGGAGTAAGCTTCAACCTCCATTCTTTTCCCTCACTTAAGGTGTGGTGTATCCAGGTTTTGCAGTTACTCCTGTGGCACCCTATTTTTGCTGGAGGATCAAGTGCAGGGCTCCTGATCTGGTGTGTTGGGTGTTGGGAAGAGGGTAGTCCACTGGTGCAGTTTAAAGGAGCAGCCAGCAAGGAGGAGTAGCATAGTGAAGCAGCCAGCATTTCCCCTAGGAGACCAAATGTTTCATTTCCATGATGAGCCTGTTTTCTGCAGGCAAGTCGGTATGAAAGTGTCATGTGAATAGTTCTTGTAATAGCTGCAGTTGCAAAGACTCTGGTTCCCATGGCAAAATGCTAATGGCAGAGAGAATTGCTTTGCAGGTGCTACTGATTCTGCTATTTGGGATCCTGTGGTTTTTTATTTTGCTTTTTATTTAAAAGCGCAAGATTAATTATAAAGATCTAAATTGAGTAAATACTGGATTTTAAAACATGATTTCTTATTTTATGGAAGTCAGAAGTTGCAGAAATGCTTGTTTACAGTCCTGGTCTATACATACATGTGTGTATTCTCATGTGCATGCACACACCCACACTCCTATTCATAATTGGCTAACAAGTCAGCACTTTTATGCGCTGATAACATCAGTTCATGGCATGTCAAGTTGTCTACCATAGTCTTGTCAGCCTGGTAATTATTTCAGGACAACTTGGAGTTCATTATTATTAGAGTCCCTCGTTCCTGTGAGCCAGTGGCTACGAGCTTGGGTGACCTGCTGTTTACACTGCAGATGTGCTAGTTAAGCAGAGGCCACCAGTTAGGTGGGAAATTAATTTAGTGACCTTATTTCAATCTGCTTCTGATCTCGGTAGGCTCAGTTCTGCCACTTCCTTTCCCCAGCCCTTTTCTGTGAAAGTTCTTCCTATTCTATAGGGAAAATGGACGGGTGAGGAGAGGTGCTTCTGCAGTATATGCAGTGCTGTTTCTCAGCTTGGTCATGTGCAAAAGCCATGTCTGCAAAAGCAAACTGCACGAAGGGTTTTAAATGACAGGATGGGGCTTCTAGGCAGCCCGAGTCATAAGCAGGAAGTTTGCTTTGTGCTAACACAGCCATGTGGGTACACTGATAACACTGACAGATCCAGATATTCCAAGAGCGTGTGTTTCGAGCTATTTCTTATTGTTACTTGACTGAATCCAACCCTGGAATGTAAGGCATGGAAAAAATGGGGTTCTGTGGCTTGCTTAGGATGAGACCAAAAAACACAGCTCACATCAATTGGAAAGAGTCACTAGGGATTGTACTGTAGCTAGAGAGAGACCTGACATTTTAGATAGGCATGTTCTTTTTCTCATTTAAAAAATCCCAAACCTGGCTTATCTTGTAACACGCTGAGCACACTAACAGCAGTGCAGGGGCTGGTTGGATTGAATATATTAGCCCTTCATTTTCAGACTAGCAGGTGTTTGGAAACCTGCAGGGGAGAAGGAAGGAGGACGAAGGAAAGAGGACCTTGTTCTCTTCGCCTTTGACAGCTCTTGATGTAAAGCTTCCTGTGGCCACTGTTCTGTTGGAAGAACCATGCATCTGGGGAATGAGACAGGAATTGTAGCTCAGGGTGAAATGTGGAGACTGCCCCCCCCCGCCAAACTCTTGCTCTCTTTGTACTGTCTAATTTACTGACTCTCTATTAAGAGGTTCTCAACAACGTGTGTGTGCTGCATGTTCCTCACTGTGTGCAGGGCATTTAAATAGTTCATTCTTAAATATTATTCCTTCTGCTGTGGTAAGCGGGAGAAGATGTTGAACCTAACCAGAACTGGAGCTTCTGGTTATGAGAACAGTCCATTAAGCATGGTCTAAGGAGGCCCACAGATAACAATGATGAAGATGCTAAAATGACCTGAAGATTTGGCCAGCTTAGTGTGAAGTGAGCTGCTGGAGCTAGTCTCCAAAGGATGACTTCTCCTCCCACAGAAGCACACGCTGATGTCATCACCACGGCCAGAAAGTATCTGCATTGATTCCACCACAAGATGGACTGATTAGGGGCCTTTCCTGGCAAGGGATGTGTGGCCCAATTTGAGGACCCCAAATCCAGATTTGTCATAAAGAATAGTTGAGTGCAGTTAACAAGAGTACCATTCCATGAACGGCCAGAGTCCCCATCCAGCAGGATGCACTTGCCTAATCCAGTTAATAGCATTGGTGGTCCTTGGCTGGTAAACTTCAGAGGATACCCAGGACTGGCCATCTGAACATGCTGGTGCATCTGGCATGCTCTGATTTCACTTCTTCCTGTTGTGAGAGGCCAAAGAACTTGCTGTCTGAGCCGAGGACCAGAGGCAGGCTCCTCACTTTCTCCAGGCATGTCCCAATGGTAAAATACAACAGACCTACTTCTGAAGGTGCTCTGCTCCTGGACAAGTTGCTGGTGTACGGTGGTATCCTGTACCCTGGCATGGGATGGAATATTCCTGTTGTCTTGCTTTCTGTGTCGAAACTTTGCCATCTCTGATCAGAGTGTACTCTTTTCAGCAGTGTGTTTCCTATAAAATCTTGTAAGTGTCCTCATAACAGAGGAGTGTCCTCTCTTAACAGAGCTGACTTATGCATCTGACGTCATGTTGTCATCTCATACCATATTAACATTCCCATGGCTGTAGAAGGGCAGGACAGTTGTGAAGCCAAAGTCCTTAAACAGAAGAGACGCTAGGAACTAAAGCTGGAGCACAGCACAGGTCAAAGATGCTGATGAAATCTAGGCTGTTCCTTTGGCTGAAGAGCAAAGCTCCCTTTTTTTCTGACTGCTCACGGGCTCTAATGTTTGAATGCAGGCAGCTGGCTTTAGTAAGTAAAGGGTCATGGGCATTCATTTGGAATGATAGGAGATGATAGGGAATCAACCCCCGCTCTTGGAGCCTGCATGTGCTCAAGGCTGAACATTTTGGAAAATGTGCGCTTTCCCTGGAGGCCTGGTGACTGCTGCTGCAGACTCTTCAGGGAGCCTGGAGGGGTTTTATGTTCAGGGAAAACTAAAAACAGAGTTTTTCAGACACCAAAGCAAGCAAACAAACCTGGATGTACTGTTCTTGCACAGCAGCATACAGCCAAACTTTGCATTTTTCCTAGTGGAAATGAGGATTTTGTCCGTGGTGGCCCTTGAATGCTGTTAATGTGTACTTTGCAGCTGGATTGGCTGTGGGGGAGGCTTTCTTGATCTCTGCATGTGAAATCTGAGCCTCTGCTGCCTCGAGTAAGGAGCCCAGTGTGCTGGGTCAGAGGCAGTAGAAGGCTGCAAAAGGGTCTTGGGGGAGGCGGGCGCACACTCATGCGGCTGTGATCGAAAAGAGCCCGGCACACCGCAGCAATAAATGCAGTGTTTTTACATTGAGCATGCAAACCTACTCTCTGAAGAAATCATCTGTCACGTGAGCTGCCCTAACAACTAGGATTCTCCTGTGGTGTTAAAATTATATGCTGATGCTCTTCTTGCCTCTTCCCAGGTTAAACCAACCTCCTGATTTGTTGCTAATACAAAATTAGATTGCCTTTCACCCTTTGCTGTTTCCTCTGCATGCTTTGTTTAAACTGAGCAAACAATGGCCTGGTCAGGTTTGGCACGTTCATAATTTGTCCCTAGTCTCACCTAGACCTCTTGCAGCTTTAATTTGGAAACATGCGGCCTGCCCTGAGGGGTGCTAATTCCTTTTCTGTAAAATGCTTGTGGTGTTCTGGGCTTCCATTGCTTTTTGGTGGAAATGGGCAGTATCTGTCAGATTCAGGCCTGCTGCACAAGAGTATTTGAGAACAGATTTGACCTGCATTTCAGATGCATAACAAGTTAGCTTTAAAGAAGCGTCTCAGTAACGATCAATCTCTGTTTTGGCCCTACAATATTTTATGTCCTTTTGTGGAAGAATGGCATGCTCAAACTGTACATATGTACTTGAGCATGAAGACTAGCATATGCCCTGAGCCTCTCAAGGTGCTTAACATACATCCTAAAACCCATAACTACTGCTTTAAAATAAAAGCAGAAAGAAAGTTATCAAGTCTGAAGTTGAGAGATGTCAGCCGTGCAAAATTGTCTTGTTTTGTTTTTTCTTTCTAGTAGCTCAGACACCACTTTACCTACTCCTGGTATCCCAATTAGGAACAAACTAGTTTTATTGAACTCTGTTCATCTTGTGTTGCTGTAGGATATTTTTGTAATCTTCTGAATTTTTTTTACCAGTCCTGACCTTCCTTGAAGCTATAGAATAGAGGAGAGGTGAGAGACCTGCTCTGCCCTCTTGGGACCCCAGATCCCTTTCCTACCATCTAAACAGGAGCGAAACTTTTGTCCTGGGTCCGCTCCATGCCTTCAGCAATGTTTGCTGGAGGGTGTTGGGCACTGAGAGCAAACAGTATGAAGGGTCTGTCAGATCTTTGCTTTCATTTCAGACAAAGTTCCAGTGGGTTGTTTTAACATTTGACTTCTCAGGTTGCAAATATGCTTTAGTCCCAGGACCCTTCAGTAGTTGAGCCGATGTACGTTATAAATATTAAAACTGTTCCTCCCGCTTATGAATGGGGACACTATCAAGCTAAATGCACAGTATATTTTAGAATATTCTTCCTGATTTGAATAAGGAAAGAGATGCTGATTATCAAGTTTTGATGCACTAAAATTTGAGAGATTTTCATCATTTGAATCATTGCAACATAGGTCTTGCTTCAGGGACCAGTTTTGTTGTGTTTTAGAGTGCTTAGAGTTGACTTGTGTATTCTAGCAAACATGTAACATGGTTCTTTACAACCGAATAACAAAGGGTATTGTTGTTTTGTTTTTTATTTGCCATAAACCACAGATACTGTTGCAGAATACCATTGGATAATACTGTCAGCTATGAAGTGTGCTGAGATTTTAAAATGGAGCTTTAATTCCTCTGATGCATCACCCTATTTCCTTCAGGCCAGGAAAGGGAGTAATGGAGTGGCTCTAGTGCTGCTTTTCATGTTTGATACAGAATTCATTTAGATTGGAAAATACCTGTAATTAAACTTGGTTTGAGTGAGAAAATGGAAAATATCTGTAACATCTGTTCCATTAATGCAGAATAGTAGGCAAGGCAGGCCTCTTCAGATACTTTTCATAAAAGCTCAACATGGAGGAAAAAGACTTTCCTGCCATGTCTACCTTCCCTGCACGCCCTTTCCATATGTGTCTGTCCCTTGCAAACCTGCATGATCACTTGCTGGGGAACAATGATTAAATCTTAAGCTATGTTGGAGAGATAAGAAACAGTAATATAATGTGTGGGCTAACTTAAAAAAGCACAAGATTCATAGTACCATGTTAACATTTACCGGGGAAGGATACATTTTAGACTTTTAGTACAAAAAAAAAATAAGCAGGGAGAGTTTGTTCCTTCTCATATAGTAAGCCCTTTCTCTCTGTTAATCGCAAACCAGGGTTGAACTTTCAGTCTGGGTCAAACACAAAAATCTTGTTTGAATGTGAGAAACTGAGCCAAGTTTGTGCGTCTCAGCTTGACCTGTTACAGGGAGTCCTTAGATTTACTGAGGAATTCTGGTGAGAGAAGGCACTGGGGGAGGTGAAGCTGTCGTAATTGTTGAATATGTTGTCTTCCCCTCCCTTCAACACATAATTACATGCAATGTTTAAAAGGTTCACATTCAGCCTGCCTGCAAGAATGGCCATGTTGGTAATGGTCTATTGTAAGTAATTAAAAGGAATTCTTTCCAATTGCAGCTAGTATGGGGAATTCAATACCCTTTGAATCCTAAGATTAAGGGTATTTATTGTGGGGAAAGCCCCACATAAAAATACCAACAAAAAACAACAGGAGAACTGGCTTATTTAACACTTGGTGGTGGATCTCTATAATATAATATAATTCTGTATGTGTGTTTTCCTCCCTGTAACAGATGACTTGTTTAAGGTTCACAAACATAAGCCAAACCTGAAGTGGCGCCAGGCATTTGACAACTACTTAAAAACCATGCCTCCGTACTACTTACTGGTATGTACTTGTACACATTTAATGACTTTAGGATTCTGATCATCAGCTATCGGTTTATCTGTGTATTAAACTCCTTTATCCTAAAATCATCCTAGCTTTGATGAGGGCTTAGTTAGGAAATCTTTTGGCGATATATGTGGGTTAAAAGATAGCTATGCATTGCTTAATTCTCAAGTCTTGTGTTCTGTTTTACTAGTAACAGAAAATACTTCAGGATTGAGCCATTTTAAATGCCTTTAATACTAGTTTTGCCAATCCCTGAATGTACTTTTAGGTTTGAGTTACTTGGCTAAAGTGAATGAGAGACATGACTTCATAATTTGGTAAAGAATATTAAGATTTTTATTTGCAGTTACTAATGTGGGGAAGTGATACTAACCGAACTGGCTGGGCCAGACAGAGGAGGGTGGGTACACTGCAAGACGTCTTACGTAGCTTGGGCAATGCACCTCAATATGGACTTGCATCATCCCGGCTATTCTGGTACTTAGCCTTTGAGAGGAAACCACCAGTGGTGTCACGTTGCGTGGTGTCTCGGTAACGTGGCATAACGTTCACTGCAAGTTAGTTAGACTATCAAACTCATTTCACATGTTAACCTGAATAGACGTGAACTTCAGTTTCCAAAAGTGACAAGCTAGTGCACTAATCCATGTGCCTTAGCTGCCTGTAATTGATCTTTTAAATTTTTTTTTGAAAGACTTAATCTCTTACTATTGTGTATTTTGTTTTCCTTATAGCCATTAAAGAAAGCCCTAAGGATGATGGGAGCTCCAAATCTGATATCAGATAATTTAGATTGTGGACTTAGTTACAGTGTTATCTCTTACCTTAAAAAACTCAGCCAACAGGTAGTATTGATTAAAAAACAAAAAAACAAAACCGTTGCAATTTTAGAAGTGCATTGATTGATTGATTTAGTTTGTGGTGATCTGATTATAAATAATATGAATCCCCATGGGAATATATTTGTGCATCATATGTGGAATCAGTAAAGATGCATGAGCATTTCTATCCAAAAATATGAACAACCTGCCCCACTCCTGAGCTGTTTTGTTGCTGTGCTTTCTCTGGGTAGTGCAGGAGGATGGGAAGGAGGGAGCTTCTGTGACCTTTTAAGTATCTGTTGGATTTTAACTCTAAAAATTATTGCCAATTGGATATGTTAGTACTCCTGCTAGTATTCACGATAGCTAAAATTAACCGCTTGTTTCCAGCCATTTTAAATTATATCTGTACTGGTGACGAAGGTAGAATAGGCTAAGGTGTCTGTTACCAGGTACATGTTAATAAAATGTCATTCCATATGACTACATTAAACACCTTTATCTGAAACTTGAAGCTAGAGATTTATATGAGGAAAGAAGACCTTTCTTCCCACACCCCCCAGGCTCAAATCCATCATCTTCCGTTGTGTGGGTTGAATGCAAGCTGATGGGGAAATAGTCTCTGTGCTCCCCTGTTTATGCAGAAAGTGAACAAGCCAAATTTTGCCTCTTCAGGGGACTCTTCCTGAAAGCGTCACATGAAGAAAACCCTCCTTGTCATGTCTCCTTCCCAGGGCCTTGTTCTGTACATGGCTCATTTTATTTCTTTATGTTCAGTAAAACAAATTCCAAATGCAGTTGCATATCTGTTTGGAAATCTGTGGTTTTGGGGGAAATAATGCGATTTCAAAGCAAAAAAACAGAAACCCCGAAAGCCCTTGTACCTCAAAGAATGCACAGTGTGAACAGTCCTGTGGGCATTTAGTGTGATTGAACAGCCACATAGTCCTAAAATATCAGGTGGAGTGTTAACTTTGAATGATGTACAAATTCCCATTACGTACTTGGAATATAGAGGGGCTAAGTTTGAGGTGGCTGTTGTAATGTTCATAGAAAGACTAAAATCTTACACAGCTGAGTAAGATTGTATGTGCATTGGACTCTTGTATAGGAGTAGCTAATGGTCAAAACTTGTGCATACTTGCATTGCCCTTTAAAAAGTAGGAAATAACACCTTAATTTGTTATGGTGGGAGAACAGACTATAAATCAAAATTCCTGGTGGGAAGAGGGGGGGATAAATTGGCATTTTTATATGTTGCGTGTATGTTTTAGTTTAAAAAAAAAAAAAAAAATGTAAATACTTGTTTACTAGATGCCCATAAGTAGGAGTATACATTCTCTAATAAAACTATCTTGCCCCTATAATAAGCCATCTTTTAAATTGAAGAAGTAGTTTGCATTTCTTTATTAAATAGCTTTTAGTAAGGAAGCAAATGGCAACTAGCTTCTACTTCAGTTTCTTCAGTCTTGTTCCTCCGATATAGCGGATTTTACTTAATATGTTATGAAGCCACAAAGTCTGAATCGGTACAGTTGTGACTAGATGACTCCATTGCCTTAAGCAATACCATTGTGGTGCATCACAGGACAGTAGCTGTAGCTCTGTTAGTCTCTTAGGATGCTGCATTTTTGTACTTGAAAAATCTATAATATGTTAACACAACATGTGGTTCCGTTTTAGACAAAGATAGAGTCGGAACGGATAATAGGTTCGGTGGGTAAGAAAGTTCCACAAGAGATTGGAATTAAAGTGAAAAATCACTCCAGTGGCCTCTCCCTGGTGCATAGTAGGGACTTTAAGCAGCTGCTGCAAGGGATCACAGGTGAATCTCCACTGAGACTGGCTGAAATGAACATTAAAGAATTTGCTGGCTTCCATATAGGACTCTTGAACAAGGTAAACACTGTGCAGCAAGCCTGTGTGGGTGAGCAGTCTGTCAGGGGCATGCTCGTTATAACATGTGCAGCAGAAGGAATGAAGTAACCACATGTTCTTGAATCTAAGATGGACCCCCCCCCCAGACGACGCCCCCCCCCCCCCCCCCCCCCCGTTAGACTCTATACATGGGAAAATTTTAAAATTGTTATAACTTTTCTAGGTATAGAATCTAAGTATGGGGGGTGGGTCTGGAATTCCCCTTGCCATGCCCCCCCCCACCCCCCC